GAGTACCCAGTTTTTCTGCCATTTATTGAAGTGACCCCAATGTGTGTTTTTGGTGCCTTTGTTAAAAATTGGTTGGCTGTAAATGCATGGATTTATTTCAGGGTTCTCTGTTCATTCCTTTGGTCTATGTGTCTTATTTTTATGCCAGCACCACGCTTTTTGGATACTATAGTTTTATGATATATTTTGAAGTTAGGTAATATGATGCCTTTGGCTCTGTTTGTTTGTTTTTCCTTCAAGATTTTCTTGGCTCTTTGTTTTTTTGTTTGTTTGTTTGTTTTGTGGTTCTATATAAATTTTAAGATTGTTTCTTTTATTTCTGTAAAGAATGTCATTGATATTTTGATAGGGATTACATTGATTTTGTAGATTGGTTTGTTAGAATGAATATAATACTGGGACCAGCAGTTAGTGTAATGGCTATGTCGCTGGACTCCCACGTAGTTGACCGTGGTTCAAGTCCTGGACCTGGTGGCTTAAACTCATGCCGGGCGCGTGTGCGTGCGTGCCCAAGATCCCGAGGGGAGAATGCAGGAGAAGGGATTGCAGCGTGGCCATTCCCCCTGGGGGTGATTTCTCGCTTTCTATCTCTCTGTCTCTGTCTGTCTGCCGAGCACACGTGCCCTATAGCGAAAATCTCTCCAAAAAAGAGAAAAAAAAGAATGAATATAATACTATTTGTGTAAAAAGAATTTGGAAGAGATTCTGGCCAGAGTAGATTATAAACTGAAATTCCTGTATATTAAATAACTACAGTAAACTGAATGAAAAGTTGTCAACTACATACAGTAGGATATAAATTAAGTTGGGCATTTCTGAAAGAGTTAAGATTGTGGAGGTAAACAGGAAATATTTTTTAGAACTTTGAGTTATGTAACAAAAACTCCAGTGATATGTTTTGTCATTTTTTTCTATAAAAGTACAGTTTAATTTTTACTTTGATATCTCACTTTCTCCCGTGTGAAATCTTTACTTCAGTTCTGTTGGTCTGTCATTGTCTTTTAAATATTTATTGCTATTCCTAATTTGGCATTGACATGCTTGGTTTGATTAATTCACTCATCAATCAAACATCTTCTATTTTCCAAGCACTGTACAAAATACTGGAGTCCCAGTGGTAAGTAAGAAAGTTTTACATCTCAAGGACATGAGCTTTTTGATTTAAGGTTCTAATATGATATGTCATGGTGATTAAGCGTTTTGAAATTTAAAAACAAAGTGTTAAAATTAGGTAGTCCTGAGTTCAAATACTCACTTTGTCGCTTAATAGCAGTATCAGCTTAAGCATATTATTTAATATAAAATGCCTACTTTCTTTTCTGTAAAATGGAAATACTAAATATTTCCAGTATATATATTGTTTTTGTGTGAAATCCCTGAGTTAATGTCTATAAACTACTTTGCACAGTCGACACATAGTAAGAGCTGCATTATGGTAGTAACTGTGAGTACTATTACTACTTCTACCACAGAAATCATCACACATTAAACATGTTTGAGTAATTCATCACAGTCCCTACCCACATCATTTTTCTAATGCCGTAGCACATGAGGAATTAAACTCTAGTCACATATACTTTAAAAATTGAGCTTGACTTACTGAAAGAGAAAAATTCAGTGTTCTTTAGTTGAACTATTTAATTGGGGGGGGAGGGAGAGAGGTTTTTGCTATCGGGCGTGTGTGCTCACCAGAAAAGACAGATAGAAAGTGAGGAATCACCCTCCAATGGGGATGACCATGCTGCAGTCCCTTCTCCTCCGTTCTCCTCTCAGGATCTTGGGCACGCACGCACATGCACCCGGCGTGAGTTTAAGCCACCGGGTCTGGGACTCAAACTGCGGTCAACTACATGGGAGTCCAGCAACATAGCCATTACACCAACTGCTTGTCCCTGCACTATTTAATTTAACCTCTGTTGTTTTTAATAATATTTGAGTGAGTGAATTTTAATTTTATTTGTGTTACATTTTGAATTCAGTTTTATAAAATTGTGTCTTAGCTTAGGAATAAGAAATGGTCCCACAGTCACTTTGTGTGTGAACTCTGCAGCTTCTTGCTGTCCATTTTATTGTTTGGGCATCATTTGCTTAAGGAAGGCCTGTTAAATGAAATCTTACTTATAGTATGGCAGTACACACTAAGTTCTTCTTGTATACTCTTTCTGGACTTTGAAATATAACCTAAGTTTTCTGAACCTCTTTTGCTATTAAAATGGAGTTACTGAGCTATTGGATTTACTTTTCATGGTTTTGAAGACCAAAAGTATTTATAAGAAATACCCAAGAATTGTATTGTCACCTTAATTATTTGACCTCTTCTAGATTCTCAGAGCTAACATTAGGAGTTGTTTGTTTATTGATTGACTGATTGGTTGATTGATTGCTAGAGAGCATGTAGCTCAGTGGAGAGAGAGAGAGGGAGAAAGTAAGAAAGGGGTGGCCATGCTGCAGTCCCTTCTCTTCCATCCTCCTCTGGAGGTTTTGGACACATGCATAAGAACATATGGCGTGTTTTTAAAGCTGCTGGGTCTGAGACTTGAACCACACAGTTGGCCATTTGGGATCCAGCCACCTTAACTAACCATCATGCTACCAGCTGACCCAGGAATCTTTTCTTTCATGAGAGAGAGAACGCTTCTGCATGTGAGAGCATGCATGACAGTGGCAGGTGGCCCGCAGGGGGTGGGGTTGTAGGTGGGGGAGGAGAAGATTAAAAGACATTCCTGATAGGGTCTCCTGCAGTCTCCTGCCCCAGCAGCCCAGCCTGCTAGGACCACAGGCAGATACCACTGTGCCCAGCTTGTTCAGGTTGGTCCAGGACCTGAACTCTGGCCTCCCATGTAGCCTCTGCCACATACAGTGGTGCCCCACTGCATGTGCCACTGCTTCTGGGCCCACTAAGAATCTTGAGAGTCATTAGAGTCATCAGTATCTTAGGTTCATTTAGCCTTTCAACTGGGAAACTTCTAAAAGTGCTCAGAGGGAATTTGGACTTAGCACTTTCATGTCGTAATATACCCGAGAGAGAGAAGGAGAAAGAAAGACACAGTGATTGGTCTTAATGAAGCCCTAGTTTTATATTTGAAAATAGAAGAAAAACAGAAATTGTAGGATATACTTCAGACCAATACCAAAGTGTTGGAGATGAATCCGGTCTGAAGAGAAAGCACTCCTATATTGCTTGATGATCGGGTGAGGAGAAGGGATGCTCTTATTCAGTAGGCTGCTCTTTTTCTTCTTTTCTTTCCTAAATACAGTTACTGATTTGACATCTAACAGCTGACAAATAGTCTAAAATGTTTCACAAAAGGGAGGGCAGAATTTAGAGCAGTATTCTATTACTTAATTTTTTTGTTGTTGAACTGAACATTTTTGGCATATTTAGTTGGTTTATTTCTATCAAGTATAAAACTTTAGAAAAGGAACTTACTGATAACCCTATTAAATATAATAAGTTACTAATGTGGCAACAGTGATAAACAAAAATATTTAAAAATTAAAATGGTTGACAACAGCAGATTCAGGGTTGATACAAGAAAGGTCAGTGGAACACCAAAGCATTCACGTAGAGACTAAACAGAGCTATGTTGGTGATCGTCCTGAGGACTGTTTGGATTGGAGGTATTAGGGCAGAGGTCCTATTTACATGAGTTAGAGAAAACAGGAGGAGGATGGAGTAGAATAAGTGCTGACAACTCTCGAGGGACACTGCTATAGAGTGGTGAGAGGTAGTAGCTACACAGAGATGTAGGGTTAAGAGAGGGTTATTTTTGTTTTGTTTTGTTTTCTTCAATGTGGAAAAATAGCATAACATGTTTACCTACAGATGGATGTTCTCCATTAAAAAGGGAAAGTTATGAAGGGGAGATTGGGGCAATTTCTGTGGCATGACTTTGGTTGGCAAGAAGAGATGGGTACCACCGTGAAAGTACAAGGCTTGTCTTTAGAGAGGAGCATGAGTCATTCATTACAGTAACAGAGAGAACAAAATAAATAGAGGCTAATAGAGATTGATTACTGATATCACAGTAAGGGAAGTGGAAGGTTTTTTCCTGTTAGTTTTTTTTTTTTTAATGAATTTTATGGATCATCAGCTGAGAGTATCTGAGTGATGGGGAAGGGAATGAACTAGGGAGGGACCAGCAGATAGCATAATGGCTACGTTGCTGGACTTCCATGTAGTCGACCGCAATTCAAGCGTCGGACCAGGTGGTTTAAACTCACACCAGGAGCATTTGCGTGCATGCCCAAGATCCCAAGAGGAGAATGGAGGAGAGGGGATTGTGGTGTGACCACTCCTTCTGGGGGATGATTTCTCACTTTCTGTCTTTCTGGCTAGTGCATGTGCCCTATAGTAAAAACCTCTCCAAAAAAAGAGAGAGAGAGAGAGAAAAGAAATGAACTAGGGGACCAGCAGGTGGTGTGATAGTTGAGGCACTGGACTCCCACATAGACAACTGCGGTTCGAGTCCCAGACCTGGCAGCTTACTTTCTCGTGTTCTCTGTCTCTCTCTTCCTCTCTCTCTCTCTGGTGAGAGCACATACCCTATAGCAAATTAAAAATAAATAAATAAAATAATTCTTAAGATAAAAAAAAGAAAGAAATGAACTGGGAAGGTAAAAAGAGGAAAGGGAGCTCCAGAATAATATGTATTTCAAGAAAAACATCTGGCCTACTTTACAGATATGTTACTCATTTGGCCTTGAAAGTATATTGTTGGGGTTCTAATTCTGTTCTTTCTTTTAGAAAATCACTTCTCTCTTATCTCCTTTTTCGGAGTAGAAATAAAAAATAATTGGTCCTTTGGGCAAGTTTGAGTATCTATTTTGTCCTAATAAAAAAACTAATTAAGCAACAAAATATCTTTTGAAGGTCTTACTGTCCAGTCACTCAGTTGTATATAGTCTTATTAACTAGTGTCAAAGTTAAAGAATGGGACTATTGATTTTCTGGGTTTCACCATCTTAAAGACATCAACATCTTTTTCTTCTTCTTTTAGATGTTTTTAATAGTTGCTCCTCTTTCTGTCCTCTACAACTGGAAGGATGAATTGGATACCTGGGGATATTTCAGAGTCACTATTTTACATGGTAACAAAAAAGACAATGAACTGATTCGCATAAAGCAGAGAAAATGTGAAATTGCTCTAACAACTTACGAAACACTGCGCCTATGTCTGGATGAGCTTAACAGGTAAGGAGAATAATGGGAATGATTATACTAATATTCTTCTCCCATCATATATATGTGTGTGTGTATATATATATATGTATATATTCACATATATATAAAATTTTATATTGAGTTTTAAGTGCTACATATTCTTTAGTCAAACTTCTCTTTATTGTTTATAATAACTTACTATAACAACTTAATTCTGAAATGTTATAATTTATAATAACTTATTTTCTGAGAAGGAAAAACCCGCATTAGGTTTCCAGTTTCTTCTTTTTATTATTATGTTTTTTAGTTTATTTATTTCATGAGTGAGAGAGATACAGAGAGAAAGAAAAAGAGACAGCACCCTGAAAGGATCCCAATACTGTGATCTACCCCCCAAGCCTCCAGCCAGCCCCAAATCATGGGCACACAGCTACAAATAGCCTATATGACACTGGAAATAGTCCAGTGTCCTCTGGGAGGTCTCTAGACTTGAGCTGGGAACTCTCCCATATAGGGTTGCCTTGCAGAATGTCACATTTTACCATTGCTCCACCGTCCAGCCTTACCTGTTTCTTATTCTAGTTCTTAAACTCACTATAGGATACCTCTCTAAAATAATAATAATGCCTATTAAAGAATGATAAAACTTGGGACCAGCAGGTGGTGTGGTGGTTAAGGTAATGGAGTCCCACATGGCTGACTCTGCGGTTCAAGTCCTGGACCTGGTGGCTTCAGAATCATGCCAGGTGTGTGTGTTCATGTCCAAATTCCGGAGAGGAAAATAGAGAAGGGTTTGCAGCATGGTCAATTACCTGAAAGGTGATTTCTTACTTTCCTTCTCTCTTTGTCTTTGTCTTTATCTCTCTCACCAGAAAGCACATGTACTCAATGGCAAAAAAAAAAAAAGAAAAGAATGATAAAACATGTTTTAAATTTCTTGCAGTCTTTTGTGCATACAGTGCTTCTGGACTAGGACAGTGATTTTCATGAATGATTTTAATTATGGGAGTATTTTGAATGTAGGGTGGCAAAAATATGTATATGCATGTGTACATGTGAAAACATACACACACACAATCACATATATGTAGAAAATGATTGTAGCCTAGAGTGAAAGGAATGTGGCTGGGAGGCACCACCAATGAGATCACAGAGTAGTATTGAAAGCCATTTAGAAAATTTCGGTGTTTATTTTTAGAGCAATAGAGTTCCCTGATAAGCTTTCAGCAGATTACCAATATGATAAAAATTATCATATTTGTATTTTATTTATTTATTTATTTATTTATTTTTAAATAAGTGCATATGGCAAATACTTTATTTTTTTTTCAATTTTATTCATTGTCATTATTTTGTTTTATTTTTTTAAAGTTGACCAGAGACAGACAGAAAGAGAGAAGGATAGTGAGAAAGCAAACTGCCAGGTTTGGGATTCGAACCATGGTCAGTCATGCAGGAGTCCAGTCGCCTTAACCACCACATCACCTGCTGGCCCCCATATTTGCATAATATTTTATAAGTGTCCTAGCTGCTGTTTATGCAGACAGAAGAGAGCCCAGCTGAATGGAGAAAGACCTATTAAGAGGTTTGTTAGGGGCTGAATTTTGTTTTTCCCTTCCCCTTAGTTCATATGTTCAGATCCCAACCCCACTACCTAGAATATATTAGAGGCAGGTCTTTAAAGAAGTGATTAAGTAAAAATGAGGCCATTTGGACTAAGGCCTAGGGTGACTGATAATCCTTGTAAGAAGAGAAAGAGACATTAGGGACAGAGGAAAGGAAGTGTGAGGATACAGCAAGAGCAAAGTCAAGAAGAGAGGCCTCAGAAGAAATCGATCTTGCTGGAGCCTTAATCTCAGATTTCTGATTTGTGAGAAAATAATTTTCTAGTGTTTAAGCCATCCGCTCTGTGGTATCTTTGTCTTGATATCACTAGCAAACTAATACAAGGTTTTTATAACAAGGTTTTTTTTTTTTGGAGAGATTTTCACTGTAGGGCGCATGCGCTCACCAGAGAGACAGAGAGAGACATAGAGACAGAAAGCGAGAAATCACCCCCCAGGGGGGATGGTCACGCCGCAATCCCTTCTCCTCCATTCTCCTCTCGGGCTCTCCTCTCCGGATCTTGACCATGCACATACACGCGCCCGGCGTGAGTTTTAAGCCACCGGGTCCGGGACACGAACCGCGGTCGACTACGTGGGAGTCCAGCGACATAGCCATTACGCTAACTGCTGGTTCCCTGATCAAGGTATTCTATAGTCAAGTCTAAATAGTTTAGACTTCAACTCTTTATAGTTGTTTCAGCAAGAGGTTGGGCCTTGGTAAAGTCATTAAATTGGATCTGCTACTCGCTTAGATTTCTCCCTTCTCCCTATTAGGATATGATTTTTACCTTCTAGGTCAAGGTTAAAGTGTTCCATCAGGAAAAAAGTTATCTATTAAGTCTTTAAAATGTTAAGATATTCTAGTCAGTTTGAACTGTTGTCAATGAAGGAATTAATGGTATTTCCCCAAAGTATATTGAAGTTTACAAAACCAGGTTATTTTTTAAGGTGATACTTGAAAATTAAAATGCTTTAATGTGGGACCAGCAGTTGGCGTAATGGCTGTGTTTCTGGACTCCCATGTTGTCAGTCACGGCTCGATTGAGTCCTGAGATTCTAGCACCTTGGCCACCACACCACCTGCTGACCCTGTTTGTAATTTCTGAGGGAAGAGTTGATATCCTCTATTACAGTCGTAGATTTGTTTCTTCTTTCAGTTCTGTCAGTTTCCAACTCATCTTGAAGCTCTTTTATTATGTTATATGCATTGTGGTTATTCTTTCCTTATGAGGTAATCCTTTGATCTTAACCAAAAAGACCTTTGGGGACCAACAGATAGTGAAGCAGTTACGTTATTGGACTCCCACAAGGCCAAACACAGTTTGAGCCCTGGACCTAGTGCCTTAAAACTCACTCTGGGCACATGTACATGCATACCTAAGATCCCTGGAGGAAAATGGAGAAGGGATTGTAGCCCAGCCATATCTCCTGGAGGGTGATTTCTCACTTTCCCTCTCACTGTCTCTGTCTCTTTCTCCAGCAAGCACACATGCCCTAAGGCCAAAACCTCTAAAAAAAAAAAAAATGACCTTTTATTGCTAATAATATTTTATATCTTGGCTTTTTGACTGGTTTTAACCTAGCCAATAATCTTCTTATGTTTATGTTTACTGCATGTATATAAGTTTTCATCTTTTATTTCTTTGTATTTAAAGAAAATCTCTTGAAGTTAGTATATAATTGAGTCTTGCTTTTTTTTTTTATTCATTTTGGATCATCTTTGTCTTTTATTTGTGGTTATTTGGATCCTTTTTTTTTTAGTCTGCGTGCACTTGCCAGAGAGAGATGGAGAAAGGGAAAATGAGAAATTACCCCTCAGAGAGGGTGGTCATATGACAATCACTTTTTTTCCATTCTCCTCTTAAGATCTTGGGCATGCATGCACCCGCACCTGGCATGATTTTCAAGGCTCCAGACTGGAACTCAAACTGTGGCCATGTGGGAATCCAGCACCTGGTGCCCTGAGACATTCATGTTTAATGTGATTACTAATAAAGTTGGATATAGGGCTTCCATTTTTGTTAGTTCTTGGTTTTTATCCCATCTAGAAAATTATTTATTAGTAAATTATTCCATTACTATTTTATGGATGCTGTCAAAAGACAGTGATCTGAAGCATGGAGAGCCTGTCTATCCGAGTTGGTGGTGGACGTGAGATTTGAACCTAGACCCATCTGGGTTCAACTCCAGACCTCAAGTTTTTGACCATGATACTGTACTACTACAAAAGTTGTTCTGTGGTTAGATAAATGCAATACATTTATTTATTTATTTTAAAGAATTATTTCATTGAACTTAATTTTTATTTATTTATTTAAATTTGATCAGAGAGGGACAGCAAGAGACAGAGAGGGACAGTGAGAAAGCAAGCCGCCAGGTCCAAGACTAGAACCACGGTTGACTATGTGGGAGTCCAGCGCTTTTAACCACAATGTCACCTGCCGGCCCAATACATTTATTTATTATAGCATCAATCATATTTTAATTATTTTTTAACCTGTTTATCCCTTTAGACTCTAAGCTCTTTGATATAGGAGATTTTATCTTAATTTTTATATTTCAGTCGTTACTACGACTTTAGTACATAACATCTGAAAAAAGTTCAAGTGATCATTTTCTTTTCTGCAATTATAAATATTAAACAAGAATTCTAATGTGGAATTTTACAGCTATAAATTATAAGATTAGGAGAAATAAATGTTATGATTTTTGTTGTATTTATTTTGTTATATTATTAGTTGGAATGGCTTTATTTTGACAAATGTTCAAAATCATTTATATTTAGGAGCCAGCAGGTAGCATAGTGGTTAAGATGATGGACTCTCATCTGATCGACTGTGGTTCGAGTCCCGGACCCAGTGGCTTGAAACTCAAGCCAGATATTTGTGTGAATGTGCCTAAAATCCTGAGCAGAGAAGGGATTGTGGTGTGACCATCCCCTCTGGGAGGTGATTTCTTGCTTTCCACTCCCTATAGCAAAAATCTCTGCAAAAAATTAATAAAAATCATTGATATTTTATCTGAAGAAATATCAGGTTATCTTTGTGAGAATAGTGCTCTGTACATTTATCATGGATAATCCACAGAGTAAACACACTGTAAATTATAAGTGAACTATATTTCTTTATGTTATTACTATTATATTTTTATACTTCATTTTGTTTTTTATCAAAGCACTCTCTATATATATGCATATGATTGAAAGAGCCAAATTGATCGAAGGCTTGTTAAGAAAAACTGCAGTTCACTTCTGACCCCAAGCCCATTACTTAGAACATCTTCAGCTTTTACTAATCTTAGTATTTTTCCTCCCTGTACCTGAAAACATATTTATGCTACAGCTTTAAAATACTTCTTTAGTTTCAGCGTGATCTGTTGATTTCTTTTCAAGGAAAATTAAGATTTTGCTTTTATTTTGCCTTT